ACAGAAAAAGAAAAGAAAAAAAATTTTGGAGGGGATGCAGATCAAACCATCACATACACATTTATACACAAAGGAAAAAAATTTTTTAAAAAAATGAACTAACAAACAGGCAAAAAATTTTTAAAAATTAAAAATTAAAAAAAAAACAACCTTCCCTCTTGTGGCAGGCTCTGTAACTGTTTTTCTAATCTGGTCTCTCCTGCAGAACTTCCACCTCTTTCACTCTTTCCCCAGTGTCCAGAGCAGAGAAGGAAGAGGGGCAGTGGAGGTGGGTGGAGCTACAGTCCTCCCCTCCCACTCCAGTATGATCAGGGACATCTCCTCCAGTGGGGAGATGTGGGATTGTCACTTCCCCAGGTATGTACTCATGAGGGTGCCCCAGTCAGGCCTATCCTAGAATGGAGTTCTCCTATTGTAACTGATGTCCAAAGTCTGTCTGGGTTTGTTCCTCTCAGTCGTGGCCCAGCTGTGTGGGTCTGATGTTCAGAGGATTATTGGAGAGAAGGGGGTTTGGATCAGTCCCAGCCTCACCACTGATCTCTTTGGAGTTCTTCCTCATCCTTTTCTGGCCACACCCTTTGTCCAGTGGCTGGATCAGGGTAGGGAGTGGGGTGCTCAGGACTCAGCATTCATCAGGTCCCTCTGAAGTTTGTGCTTCAGTATATTCCTTCTGGGTCACAATCAATCCCTGAGTAGTTGATCCACCAGTCACAGACATCGGGTCTATTGCTCCATGGTGAGCAAGTCGGAGCACTTTCCTGCTCCACCTTCAAGATGGCGGTGGAGGCCCTCTCTTGTCCTCTGCTTCTAGTACCCAGCCAGGTGCTGAAGTGGTGAGGCAAAGCCTGGAGCCAGCAGTCTCTAATGCTGCAGTGGTGAGGCAGAGCCTGGGGCAGTCTCTCCCTACCACTTCTTCACAGGAAAACTTTTGTCTGTTTTTAAAAAAGTATTGGCACTTGGCTTCTGTGACCTGGGAAGAGCCAGGGACCAAGCAGAGAAGCTGCAACACCAGCTGTTGCACTAGGGCCCTGGTCACTTGCTCACAAGCCCCCACTTAGTCTCTCCCAGCATTTTCTTCCCAGAAAGGGATTTGTTGATTTTTAAAAAATGATACTCAGTTTCTGCATCCCGGAAATCACTGGGGCCCAAGCCCAGAAGCTGCAGCACCAGCCACTGTACCAGGAGAGCCCTGGCCGATAGCTCCCTAGCCCTCACTCAGTCAGTCACTCACACGCATACTCACTCATCAGCATGTACACAAAATTTTCCATACACTTGCTCTCTCACAACAGGATTTGCAAAGTCCAAATGGCTCAGGTGCCATCTTCCCAACCTCTCCAGAATCTACTTTTTAAAAGTGACTGTATAGGCTGAGTTCGGTGGCTCAGCCTGTAATCCCAGCACTTTGGGAGGCCGAGGTGAGTGGATTGCCTGAGCCTGCAGGTTCAAGACCCGCTTGGGCAACTTGACGAGACCTCACCTCTACAATAAATCAAAAATTAGCCTGGTGTGGTAGCGCGCACCTGTAGTTCCAGCTACTTGGAAGGCTGAGGCGGAAGGATCCCCGGAGCCCAGCAGGTCAAGGCTGTGGTGGCCGGGAGCGGCCACTGCACTCCAGTCTGGGTGACTGAGACTCCAACTCAAAATATAAAATAAAATAAAATAAAATAAAATAAAATAAAAATGACTATATGAAGTGACAATTTCGGCTGGACATGGCGGCTCATACCTGCAATCCCAAAACATTGGAAGGCCAAGAAGAGAAGACTACCTTGTGGTCAGGAGTTTGACACCAGTCTAGGCAATATAGCAAAACCCTGTTTCTAAAAAAATTTTTTTTAAAATAATAAAGTGATAATCTCCTCTGCCAATAATCTGATCATGTCTCTTGTCAATTTATCTTTGGGGGTTTTAGAGCTTTTTAATTCCTATTGATTTGATGAGCATTGGAGGGTTTTGAGCTTTTAATTCTTATTGATTTGATGAGCTCTTTTACATATTAAAGAGAATAAACAGTGGTATGCTAGTCAGCAACCAATTCTTTTTGGGGGAAAAGACCCCTGGTTTATAGTGTTTGCCTATTTCCCTGGTGTAAATATTTCACTATAATTTCAAATAACATGATGACACTGACCACAAAGATGAGAAGAGATACATACATTCATCTCTCACAGGCATATGCTGGTTGCAGCATGTCACTGAAACTCTTGGCAATAACATTTGTTATCAGTGTTTTTCCAGTATGTTTTTTTATATTTTAATTGTATTTACAGTCTTTTTTTTTTTACTTGAAAGTCTCACTCTGTCCTACAGGCTGGAGTGCAGTGGCACACTCACGGCCACCCCAGGGTCGACCTGCTGGGCTCCAGCAATCCTTCCATCTCAGTCTCCCAAGTAGCCAGAACTACAGGTGTACTACCATGAGCAGCTAATTTTTGATTTGTTGTAGAGATGAAGTCTCGCCAAGTTGCCTGGGCTGGTCTCGAACCTATGGGCTCAGGCAATCCACTCTGTCTCAGTCTCCCAAAGTGCTGGGAGTAGCTGGGACTATAGGCGCACACCACTATGCCCGGCTAATTTTTTTTATTCATTGTAGAGACAAAGTCTCACCAAGTTTCCCAGGCTGGTCTCAAACTCCTGGGTTTAGCTAATCCTCTTGCCTCTGCCTCCAGAAGTGCTGGGATTACAGGTGAGCCACTGCACTCAGCAGTAATTCATATGTTAAATTGCATGCCATTCCAAGTAGTGTGATGAAGTTTCACACTGTCCTGTTTAACCCCACCCGGGATGTGAATCATTCCTTTTTCTAGCATGTTCACACTGTCAAAGTTCCTGGCCCTCAGTCCCTGAGTAGCCATCTCGATTATCAGACTGAGTGTCATGGTACTATAATGCATGTGTTCAAGGAACCCTTTTTTTACTAATAACAGCCCTAAAGTGCAAAAGTAGTGATGCTGGCAATTTAGATATGCCAAAGAGAAGCCTTAAAGTGCTTCCTTTAAGTGAAAAGGTAAAAGTTCTTACTAAAGAAAGAAAATCATATGCTGACGTTTCTGAGATCTATGGTAAGATCTGTTCTATCTATGAAACTGCAAAGAAGGAAAAAGAAATGTATGCTAGTTTTGCTGTCCTACTTCAAACTGCAAAAGTTATAGCCATAATTGGTCTGTTTTTATTATTAGTTATTGCTAATACCTTACTGATACGTTAAAATGTATATATTCTTTCTCTCTATATTATATATACACTATGGGGAAAAACCATAGTATATATAGAATTCATACCATCTGAGTTTTCAGGAATCCACTGGGGGTCTTGGAATGCATTCCCTGGGCAAGGTGGGGACTACTGTACCTTTCAAATGAAAAGTTTTTATTCAAAGATGAAATAATATCTTCTATTACCTGTTATTTTCAAGGTTTAATTTTGAAAATATTTTAATCTATTTTTTCCTAAAATCTATATTGATATATGACATGAAGTAAGGCTCTAAATTGAATGTTTTCTGAATAAGTAAGTAACCAGAGATCTCAACGTCCTTTGTGAAATTTCTCCCCCACTGATTTGTGAGTCTCATGTAGAACAGATTCCATTCTTTATCACATCACATTGACCTAGTTGGTTATTGCCATTCTACACTGATTTACTCATCCTTGTTTAATAAAATGCTCTAATGTGTAGTAGTATAAATTTCCTTTCATCACTATCTTTACCAAAAGAAAACAAAACACCTGCATGCGTGTAAAATGACACATCCAAACTCTGGTTAGCATTTTTGACACTTTTATGTCTCAATCAAAGTTTTAGTTGCTCTTGGGTTGTCTCAATTTGCCAGTTTAAAAATGGTCACTCTTTTTTTTCTAGTTAAAATACATAAACTAGAAATTTATAAAAAGTTTAAACATAGTTCTAACTTTTGTCAAATATAATAATTAACTTGAATGTTTTCCTATGTCATAAATTTAAAAGTCCACAGTAATCTTATATTTTTCTCAGTAAATATTTCCTTAAATGTCTTCACTTTACACTGAAACTTGCTTGAATGTCAGTAAAATATAAATTTTTTCTATTAGCAAGCATAATTTTTTCAATTTTTAAATTAATACTTTTAAGTGGATGCGAAAATTAAAGACCACTGTTCTCAGGACCACCCTGATATGGAAAAATTGCCTTTATTTTCAGAATACCAAAACACAATGAAAACATGACTAACCATACTCAGGAACAAAATATGAACACACGTAGTTATAAAGCTCTCATGTTTTCTAAGAAATCTAGAACAATAAACTCTTTTTCAGTCCGTATATATGAAACAGCTGAATTTGGACTTGCTTGTGTTAGTTGTGTTAGTTTCATTGTGGTCCTGATTCAAACCATAAGGGACTGTGTTTGATGCCATATTGGGGAAAAAAAATCCCTTTTTCTAAATTTATCACCAGTTGTGAAATAGGTTTTTGTGAAATACTTTTATAGCATTGATGGCCAGTGGCAATCCATGGAAATATCAGCACAACAAATATGTTCTGATTGGTCCATATGATGTTTATAAAAGATTTTTAATAAGATGCCAATATATTAAAATTGAGAACTTTCACATAAAATCTGCATTTCTAGCTTCTGTTGAAACACTCTTGAGACATCTTTCCCACCTGGCAACAGTCAGCTGGTATCAAACCATGCTGCCTTCCTCAGATAAATGAGCAGAGCTCACTTATCTGAGATAGGACACTGTCACTCACTTACACTATCAGCCTAACAACAAAGTGCATTCACTTTGGGCCAGGACAATGGCTCATTGCTGTAATCCCAGCAATTTGGGAGGTTGAGGCAAGAGGATCATTTGAGGCCAGGAGCTAGAGACCAGCCTAGACAACATAGCAAGACACTCTCTCTACAAAACATTTTTTTAAATGTATTCAGTTTTGTAACCCTTGCTTCAAATGATGTTTTATTATCATTTGTGATGAGAAATTAATGGAAATTTTGACTCAAAATTACAGATTTTAGAAGACCAAATAAGAGTTCGAGATCAGGCGGCCACAGGAACTAATTTTGCAGTACAGGAGATGAACATCAAACATCTACAAGGAGTTGGAGATCTTCGAGGAAGAGTAGCCAGGTAAGAAGTAGCAATGTTAACTCATGTTTAGCAGTCAATTCTTGGCAGCTGAGCTCTCATTCCCAAATAAGTTTCATATTGTAGGAAGAACCATTGTCTTGATATTAAACTAAACTGATGAGAAGGTGGTTGAGGAAGAGTATTATAGAACTTTGAAAGTCTTGTGCTCCTTGTGAGATCTAAAGTTCCTATAAAAGATCCCTTACACAGAATGTCCAGTTCAGTTCCAATGGAAGTGACCAGAGTCTTGTCTTTACAGCCTCAGCTGCCCAAATGCCAACATCCCTATGCAGACACACCTCACAACTATAACAAAGTCCTCAGATGTGTCAGATTCTAATGAGTAAAACATTTAAATACATAGAAGTACATTAAAGAGTCTAACAAAAGGGATTTACTGCCACACAGATAAAGTATGGAACAACATCTTTTGTATGATATTTATAAATCAGAAGAATGAGTGGGAGGTAGTTCAGCAAAAATCCATAGGTATTGACAATTCGGGACCACGCTGCAGACTCATCAAACATGATTTGTAAATGGCTGATGGGGACACCTTGTCATCTCTACATCTTCTGCCAGGACCTATTCCTAGATATTAGGAGAGGTATTAAAATTCAACAAAAATTTCTTAAGCACTTACCATATGCCAGGTAGAATTCAGCCATACGGTCGCCTTTCTAGAGTTGTTCACAGTCTGCCTGGGAAAACAAACTCCATCCCTAAGCAATGGGGTGAACACTAAACTGAAAGCCTGGAGTGCTATGGAAATGTCCAAATAGACATCTGCTTCTTGGGGCAGAAGGGAGGCTTCCCAGAGGAGGTGACACTTGGAATGAGTTTGGAAAGATTTATAACAGTTAGTTAGACAAGGAAACGTGGAAAAGACACTCCACCTGGAGGAATAGTATGTGCAAAGGAACTGAGGGAAGGATCACTGTGGCATGTTCTGGGGCCTACCTGTGAGAGGGGCATTTTGGTTATGATGTTATAGAGTGTGCATTTCAAGAAAACTGGAAAATAAAGTGAGAGAAGTGGCCCAGAATTAGAAGATAAAGCGTCTTGTGGGTGAGGGTGAAGAGTTTGAACTTTATGTAGAAGGTTATAAATAACCTTGGGAGGATTTTTTTTTTTTTTGAGTCATATTTTTACTATGTTGCCTGCCCAGACTGGGGTGTGGTGGTGAGATCACGGCTCACCACAACCTCAGCATCCTGGGCTCAAGTGATCCTTCTACCTCAGACTTTCGAGTGGCTGGAACTACAGGCTAATTTTTTGACTTTCTGTAGAGACGAGGTTTCGCCATGTTGCCCGGGCTCATCTCAAACAATCCTCTCACCTTAGCCTCCCAAAGTGTTGAGATTACAGGCGTGAGCCACTGCGCCTGGCCATGGGAGAATTTTAAGTGAGGGATAATATGTCATATTTCGTGGCATTCTAGTAGTAGCTGAATTGATGGAATATAGAAAGAGGGCATGGAGATCAGAGGAGGGCTATTGCAGCAGTCCAGGGCGGAAGTTTTAGGGCCTCAGCCAAGGCACCAGTCATGAATGTACAGAGCAGGGCAGACAACACAGACATTGGGAACGTGGAATCTACAGATTACTACATGAATGAACTTGGAAGATGAGTTAAGCAGGGGAGTCGAGGGTAATTCCTGGTTTGGGGAGTAGTTGACATTCCACAGAGAAGAAAATACAAAATGAGGAGAAAGTTTTGGTGAGGAAGGGGAAGCGGAAACAGGAAGTAATGATATTTGGTTTTCACCATGTTGTGCATGAGATGCCATTGGGATATTAACTGGGAAGGGGCAAGGAGCTCAAAGGGGGAGGAGGGCATGTCAAGGATGTGAAGGCTTGTGGGCCCACAACAGACACAATTGAGTGTCTCTTGGGAAGACTTTTTATTTCTGGAGTGTGACTCCATTCCTCTTAAAACAAGACAAAGATGCTTTCTAGGAAATAATACTCATGGTTGGAAAACTCTCATCAAAGAAAAAGTAACTGTCTGCTAGTCTAGAGAATTAATGAATGAATACATAAAATTTACATTTATGTTGTATAGAAACATAAATAAAACATTTATATAGAAGTATAGATTTCATTATTTAATATTTGATTAACACAAAGAAATTTTACAATATTTGGGTAAGCTGTGAAGCAAAACAATAAAGTAAACATCAGCAAACCTATAACTATACTTAGATATGTCATGTTTTTGCAAATTAAAAAAAAAAAATGACCAGGCGTGAGTCATTAATCCCAGCATTTTGGGAGGCTGAGGGAAGAGGATTGCTTGAGCCCAAGAATTTGAGACCAGCCTAAGCAATATAGTGAAAATACATCTCTACAAAAATAAAAATAAAATTTAGGTAGGCATGGTGGCATGCACCTGTAGTCCCAGCTACTCGGGAGGCTGAGGTGGAAGGATTGCCTGAGCCCAGAAAGCGCAGGCTGAGGTGAGGGCCACTGTACTTCAGGTGGGTGACAAAGTAAGACCTCGGCTCAACAAAAAATAAAAAGTTCGATTTGGTGGTATGCTGGTGACATTCCAATTAACCGTTTCTTTCTGCAAGTCACTTACAAACCTATTATTTTGTTTTTGTAAATCCTGTTTTACTTACAAGACAAAATAACAAATGGATTTATAAGAAACCAAGAAATCAATGGAATTACATATAGAAGATATGTGATTCTTTTGGTTCTACTCTGATTTCATATTTACCTTCCCCTCCAATCATAGGCCGTGACTTCAAGACAAGGTCTTATTTTTTCTTCAAATGTCTCCCTTTTATGAGAAATTTCTGAAATCTATTTAGCAATCTGATTCAGAAGCTAGTTAAAAGCTCTAAAAGCCACGGGATGTAAGTTCACCCTTCCTCTCCTGTTCTTTTTCTGTGTTCTTGTCAGGTGAGGGACTAATGGCCAAGCAAAGGCAGACTGATTATGGTCTTTCCACATATAGTGACCTTAATTCCAATTAGTGTTTGACATATGAGAAATTAAGTTGATTATTTTAACTTAATTGCCAGCAGACATGTTACTGCTTCATAAATCAGGCTAAATATTTTAAAATGACTACCATATGTTTTGAATTTCACACCTTATTTTCCACCCCACTAGAGTGGCAGTTGAAAAGCTAGTACTTCCAAAGAGACGAGGCTCCCAGAGTTGCCTGGCCTGCTTTACACCCTGTCTTCTGTTTGATAGATAAGTCTCATGGACAAAAGAGAGAAAAATGAGCATGTGAAGGGCGCCCATAAGAATGGGTGTGGCTTGTGATCGGTAGCAGCAACCAGAGGTCAATCTACTCAGTCTCATTTGGCTCTTTGGAACTCCGGGCACGGTCATTCATGACTATAGTCCCAGCACTTTGGGAGGCCCAGGAATTCGAAATCAGCCTAAGCAACCTAGCAAAACCCTGTCTCTACAAAAAAAATTTTTAAAAGTCAGGTATGGTGGCATGGACCTGTAATCCCAGCTACTCAGGAGGCAGAGAGGAAGAAATCACCCAGGAAGTTGAGGGTGTGGTGAGTCATGATCGTGTCACCATTCCAGCCTGGGCAACAGAATGAGACCCGACTCAAAAAAAAAAAATGTAGTTCCTAATAAATATTATGTGATAACAAAGTAGTTATTTTATAAAATGGCAAATATCAAAGAGACCTCTAGTAACTCAGATGTACAAAAGAAACAGCCCTTCAGTGTTCTCCATTCCATCTTTCATGCAGGTATGTGCATGTACTGAAACTGACCATGAATACGGTGTGAAACCTGCTCTCTCCTGAGAGAGACCATGGGTGATGGTGGTGGTGTGGGCGGTGGTTCTGTGTGTTTCCTTCCTTGACATGCTGAGAAGACGATTAATCTTCAGTTCACCTCACCAGCTCTATCTTCCCTAAAATTTCCTTCCCTAAAATTATCAAAGGCAAACCTATGAACCAAAGCTTCATACATATGTTAGTATGAATTGGTTTTGTCCTAATACAAGACAATGCCTGACTGAGACCTCTCAAGGAACAGGAGTTTTGATTGAGGCTAAGAAGGTGGGAAATTGGAGAAGATGGATCGGAAGATTTTGGTTAGCTGGGACACCTTTTCTAGCCAAAGGAGTGTTGATAGTCTGGGGGCTAAAAAATGGGCTAAAGGGAGAAAATGGATTCAGAACATAATACAGAAGAGGAAAAATTTTTAATTTTGCCTAACCGTAGGCAGCAGTATGTATTCCCAAAGCATCAAAATCTGTGTAACTCCTATGACTAAGTTAATATCAAGATGAAAATGTAAGTTTCCCCAAATGTATCTCAATGTTCCCATCTAAATATTCCAATTCAGTGCTCTGGTTTAGGCCAGTGTATCCAATCTGGTTTCTCTCTCATCATGAAAAGAAGAGAAAAAAAATGGAGATTCCTATATATGCTTCTGCATCTACTCATTATTCAAATAACTTCAGAACTTTCGCCATTAAATGAACGCACAGGTCCTACTATAAGACTATAAACGTTATGAAGCTGTTGATCTCACACCAGTTTCCATCTTGTCACTAGATGTGATTCAAGCATTGTAAAGCTTTCTGGAGACATTCACTTCATCAGACAAGAGTATCGGCAAATTGAGAAAGCAATCCAAGAGCTTGTGTCTGCCCTAGAAACTCTTTCCAAGAACTTTGATATGAAGGTAACTGAAAATAGATGGGACGATGCTATCTGTTACTGCTAGAAGGTCATTATAGACGATAAAACTGGCCAGTGAGGGGGTAATATTTTAACGAACTTTTTCCTTCCAAAAGGTTTAAACATGACATGTCACTCATACACTGTGAATACAGTTGATTCAATCAGCAAATATTTACTGAATACCTCCTGTATTCCAATTCTAACACCTACTGTAAGCGTACACTGCTTTTCTCCATCATCGCTATTGTTTCTTTTACTCTCTGGGTTCCCCTCAAAGACTGTAGGACCAGGAATTATGAGCAAAATAATTTCCCATGGAAGTGGTGGTTGTAAGTCCAACATAAATGTGAGTTGATCATGTTACATCCCTTCTTAAAGTCCTACAATAGCTTATATCTCTTACAAAATAACATGAATTATTTGACCTGGATTTTAAAGGCCATCTCTGCAGTGACTCCTGTTTATTACTACCTGTGCCTCTTTCTTTAAAAACTTTAGTTTCGGGGGGTACATGTGCGTTTGTTACATGAGTATATTGCATGATGGTGAGGTTTGGGCTTCTATTGAACCCATCAACCAAATAGTGAACATGGTACCTCATAGGTAGTTTTTCAACCCTTGTCCCTCCCTTTCTCCTTCCTTTAGGAGTCCTCAGTGTCTGTTGTTCCCATCGTTATGTCCGTATGTACCCAGTGTTTAGCTCCTGTTTATAAGTGAGAAGATGGGGTGTTGAGTTTTCTGTTTCTGTGCCAATTCACTTAGAATGATGGCCTCTGACTGCATCCGTGTTGCTACAAAGGATGTGATTCCGTTCTTTTTTATGGTTGTGTGCCTGTGCCTGTGCTTCTTTTTATTTTTTTTTTTTTTTGAGTTGGAGTCTCACTCTGTCGCCCAGACTGGAGTGCAGTGGCCACTCCCGGCCACCGCAGCCTCGACCTGCTGGGCTCCCGCGATCCTTCCGCCTCAGCCTTCCGAGTAGCCTGGCTGATTTTTTTTCTGATTTATTGTAGAGATGAGGTCTCGCTGCCCAGGCGGGTCTCGAACCCGCAGGCTCAGGCAATCCACTCACCTCAGCCTCTCAAAGGCACGTGATTACAGGCTGAGCCACAGAGCCCGGCTAATGCCTGTGCTTCTTGTTGCATCCTTTATGCCCAGTGATACTGAGCTCTCTATAGGTATGTCCCCTCTCACATCAAGATATTATAGGTCTTCCCTTTTGTTCAAGCTCTTTTCTTTTTAAAATTTTTTAATGTTTAGTTTGAGAATACATGTGCAGGTTTGTTACATGTGTACATTGCAGGATGGTGAGGTTTGGGTTTCCATTGATCCCATTACCTAGATGGTAAGCATGGTACCCAATGTGTAGTTTTTCAACCATTGTCCCCTCCCTCCTTCCCTCCCCTCACTTTGAGCATCCCTAGTGCCTGTTGTTCCCATCATTATACCCATGTGTACCCAGTGTTTAGCTCCCACTTATAAATGAGAACATGTGGTATTCGGTTTTCTGTTTCTCTCTTAGTTCACTTAGAACAATGGTCTCCAACTAAATCCACATTACTGCAAAGGACACGATTTCCTTCATTTTTATGGCTGCATACTGTGCATACATGGTGTATATGTACCACATTTTCTTTATCCAGTCCAGCATTGATGGGCACCTAGGTTGGTTCCATGTTGTTCGTTCTCGTTTCCACCTGAAGTGTCTCTCTCCTCTTTATCTTCCCAGTCAAGGATTTAACTAAAGTGGACCCAACATAAAGTTTTCTGTGTATCACTTTGTCATATCCTTGGGTAAAAGAGCACTTCTTCTCTAAAATTGTTTGGGCAGAACAAAATGGAATTCCTCTGGGAATTGGGGATGTGAATGTTTGGTGTTTGATGACCTGTTGGCAGGAGCCAGTTAATCAAGAGCAAATGATACTGTGCACATAGTTGACTCCAGTCCCATCAGGCTCCCCTGGTTCACCTTTCTTCTCACCCATCTCATGGGTCCTAATAACTTTTTGGCTGATTCTCTTAGTTTTTCAAGGTACTCAATTATATCACCAACATTTTAAGGCAATTTTATCTCTGGTTTTCTCGTGTAAAACCTTATCACTTTTCTTAAGACCTTGACCAGACCTTCTAGAACACTATTAAATAAAAGTGATCACAGAAGACAGCTTATCTGGTTTGGGGTTATAAAGGAAATGTCTTTGTTGTTTAAAATATTGATTAATCATGTTAAGGAAGTAACAGTTTATTCCTACTTATTTTTTGTCAGGACTGAACCTTTTAGACATCAACAAATCCCTAGAATCACCATATTGGTTGTTTTTCAGTGTGGGGATTTTCCTGTTTGTTTACTTCTTTGACCTTCTAGTGTGCTAATAATTCATTTCCCAAAAGTGAAACATCCTTACATTTCTATAATGAAATCTATACAGTTATTGTATGATAATTCAGTACTTGAATTTTGTATCTAAGTTCAAAGTGACATTGGACTATATAATTCTTACTCTCTCTGCTTAGTGGTTTTTGTTTGTTTGTCTGTTTGTTTGTTTTGAATAAGAGTCTCACTCTGTCACCTAGGCTGGAGTGCAGTGGCATGCTACTCACGGCCACTGCAGCCTCGACCTGCTGGGCTCAGGCGATCCTTCCACCTCAGCCTTCCAAGTAGCTGGAACTATAGGCGCCTACCACCATACTCAGCTACTTTTTTATTTATTGTAGAGACAAGGTCTCACCATGTTTCCCAGACTGTTCTCAAACCCACTGGCTCTAACAATCCTCTCACTTCGGCCTCCCAAAGTGCTGGGATTACAGGCATGAGCCACATCACCTGGTCTACTTAGTGTTTTTTTTTTAACATAATGCACACATCTGGTTCAAAACTCAAAACTATATAGAAAATATACCCCAGTAATTTTCATTCCCACCCCATCATCATTCATAACATTTTTTCACACTCTTCACAGGTAACCATTTCATTAGTCTGTTGTGAATCTTTTCAGTATGCCTTTATGTAAATATAAAAAAACACAAATGCATATTCTTATTTCCCCTTTTATTACACAAAAGATGGCATTATATATATATGTATATATGTATGTATGTATCTACAGTCATGAGGTCTGACAACTAAGTTTGACAACTCATCCTAGAAGAAGTGCTACATACCTCATTGCTGAAATCACTATGGTCACTTTTCACTGACGCCAGCACCTAGTCCACCCATCAAAGCAATTTTGGAACTCTTTTCTGGAATAACCATCAGAGCAGTCATCATATTTTCCTTGATGTCCTGAATGTCATCAAAATGTCTTCCTTTCAATATTTCCTTTATCTTTGGGTAAAGAAAAACATCATTGGGAACCACATCAGGTGAGTAGAGAGGACGTTCCAATACAATCATTTGTTTACTGGTTAAAAACTCCCTCACAGACAGAGCTGTGTGAGTTGGTGCATTGTTGTGAGGTGAGTTCCTTTGGGACCATTTTTGAACACATCTTTCTCGTGCCAAGATTTTCAGTTAAGATTTTTCTGTCTCTCCATCAATGTTTATTTGGTCTGCTATGCTTCTTGTGGTCAGCCAGTAATTTTGATGCACAATTTGATGAATTTTTGCCATTTTTTTCCCAGTTCTGCTTGTTATTGGCCATCCTGACCTCTCTTCATCAGTGATATTTTTCCTCCCCTCAGAAAAACATTTAGTCCATTTGCACACTGCCAATTTCTTCATGGCATTATCACTATAAACCTGGACTAACATATCCTTATTTCACTTCCCACTCTTGCCAAGTTTAACAAGAAATTTAATGTTTGTTCATTGCTCTAATTCAAGCTCCAACATTCTCACAATGGCACACAAAAGCATGCAACAAGAGCTGGGTGTGGCGGCTCATGCCTGTAATTCCAACACTTTGGGAGGCAGAGGTGAGAGGATTACCTGACTTCAGGGGTTCAAGACCAGCCTAAGCAACATGGCAAGACCTCGTCTCTACAATAAATCAAAAAATCAGCTGGACATGGTGGCGTATACCTGTGGTTCCAGTTACTGGGAAGGCTGAGGTGGAAGGATCACCTGAGCCCAGCAGGTCGAGGCTGCAGTGGCCATGAGCATGTGACTGCACTCCAGCCTGGGTGACAGAATGAGAGTCCAACTCAAAAAAAAGAACAAAAAAACACGCAGCAATAATAATGAATGCCACTCAGCAAGACACTGCCATGCATCAATATGAACACAGCTGTGAGACATTGATATAACAAGGCTATGAAACTTTACTGAGTTGTTTACATAGTGCTGCCAACATAAGCACATGGTAGCAAGTTCACAAACTTAATTGTCAGACCTTGTATATTGCTATACACCTACCTTCTTTTTAAAAAAGCAAAACAAATATGTCCTGGAGATCTTTCCATATCAGTACTTAGAGCACGTTCTCACCCTTTTTTACAATTGTATACTCTTCCTTTATATGTAATAGCTCATTTAACCAGTCTCTCATAGATGAATATTTTGGGTTCTCATTAATTTGTTGCTCTTTCAAACAATGCTGCAATGAGTAACTCTGCACTTATGTCATTTTGCATGTGTGTAGGTATATCCACCAAATAAATATCCAGAAGTGGGATTTCTGGGTCAAAAGGTAAAAGTGTTTGTTATTTTGAAAGGTCTTGCCCGATTGCTTTCCATAGGGCTTTTACCTTATCATGCACCCACCAGCAATATGTAATCACCATTGCCTCACCAATACAGTGTTATTCAACTTTTGAATTTTGCTATTATTATTGGAAAAAGACAGTATCTTTGTGTTTTAATTAGCCCTTTTTATTACTAATGAGGTTGAGCATCTTTTCATATATTTAGGGGTTATTTCGATTTCTTTTTCAGTGAACTGTCTGTTCATGTCTTTTGTCCATTTTTCTGTTGGGCTTTCTTTTTCTTCTCTATTTTTAGGAGCTCTTTGTATCTTAGGGAGATGAGCCCTTTCTGTGTGAGATGAGCTGCAAATACATTTT